GCACCTCAGAATACCATAACCCATCAAAGTCATAGTTTAGTGAACAAATCCAATCATTTCTCAATAAATCACTTATATAGGGGATATTCAATGAGTTCTGATTTATATCTTTACACAAAGACCACAAATAAGCAAACAACAGTAGCTTCTAAGGCTCTCAAAACACTGTATGTTCCTCTGTAACAAAATTACCCTGGTTATTGTGCCATCATTCTGACGACTGCAATTTCTAGCAGATGCACTTGTCCATATTTGTAGTCACTGATAGGATTTCATTTTATTGCTCTTGACATTTTGTCTAGACCAGAAGGGCAATGTCTATGACAGGAAATTCATTTAAAGGAGCAAGGCAATATTTCATATCTCAAAGGTCAAAAGAATGAAATAATTTCAAAAGATGTATTGCCTTATGTGCTTTCAATGACAGAAAGTATACATTTTTTAAGTAGAACAAGCTAAATAATCACAACCAAACTATTGTTTAGATAGCCCTTCAGTCATTTTGCTTTACTCTAGAATATTGTTTAGAAAAGAACATCGTTCTTTTTTATTCCCTGCCACCTTCTGAGGTTGCAGGTATAAAGGATTGCACGCAAATAAAATGGGAATTGTCTCCACTTAAATTACCGTTGGCATTTCTGACCTTTCCACTGGTAATTTTGAAGCTCAATGGCAGAAAACGTCAGGAAGAGTTTCATCCTTTGCCGACAGAGATGAAATCAGAGCGGGCATAAAAATGAATCCCAATTAAATTTGAACATTGAAGCCTGAACTCTGTCTTTGTGTATCCAGATGCCTATTTAACAACATAGGAATCATATGCAAAGACACTGAATGTCTTACTCTGATTTTAAAATAGGATGACAACTGCTTTAGAATCTCTAATAACAAAAATAATTTCTTACCTTTGTGAAGTGTTTCTCTTTTAACTGTTTGCACACATATCACCAACAGAAGTATAATTTAGGGAAAATCAATAGAGTTAACAGACAAAAACACAAATTCATGCCTTGCAGTTTGATAATTTAAGAAGTAAAAACATTGGCATTCAATCCTAATCACTACCAGTGACCAGTTTACATTTTTTTACATGTAATCTGTAATGAGGTATTACTGTACATTCAAGGTAAGTGTCATCTGATGTACATACCACAGTTTTCTTCATCACTGTCATCATCACAGTCAGCTTGGCCATCACATCTTCTGGAAGTCAGAACACACCGGCCTGAGTGGCACTTGAAGTGACTGGGTGAGCACTCTGTTAAAAACATATGTCACGTGGGCCATATTACTCTCAATGAGCAGAAAACCCAGTAAGGTCAGCTAATCCATCTATTTACATGTGGAATGTGTCCATAAGCTATTACTAAAGATAAAGCTGGTCCTCCAAAAAGCTGAAGCAGCCAAAGTTAACTTGGCTTTCTTCTGTCTGCTTATCAGTATCTTTCTCCAATTTTGACAACATCTCTAGGTCAGCTGTTTAGTGTATTTATTCTTCCCAGTAATTAATTATCTTTCCATATGGACAACCTAACAATTGCCCAAGCTTGAAATATCCTGTGGAGTCAATGCTTCTAACTACCCAGCAGCTCTCAATATGTCGAAATCATTTCTCTGTTCCAGTCTTTCCATCTGGTGGGCAGGTCCCAATTCCATTTCTCTGCCCAATGATCCTATGTTGCCAAGATCCCTGAATACTTTGCACTTGAAGGAACCAAGGCTTAATGTTCACGTATTACCTTCAGAATCCCTAGTATAAAAGTAGGATAACGGACTTGATGAGTTAACTGTGGTTAATACGGGAAACATCTGGAATATTAAATTCATCTTTGCAATTTATTTTTAAAGTGATGAAAAGAGCTAACAGATGAGCCCCAAATTCACTGTAATCAATTCATAGATTCACTCACTTATGTAACCTGATTGTCCACTAAATAGGAAAAAGTGAGACTTCAAAAGGTAGCTGACGTGTTCATCCATGTTAGATACCCCACTGTAATTAATTTAAAAATTAACCTTCCACATCTTCATCAGGCATTAGGCAGGTTTGATTGTCTGAATTTTCCTCTGGAAATTGATTGCAATCTGTGTCTTCAGGCCACTGTAGGCCCACAATTCCAAGAA